CACTCTGTCATGTCGGGTTTTATATTCAGTGGGTGCCAATACCGTGCAACCTGATACAAGATGATCAATCGTTTCTGGATATTTATCACAGAATCTGCATTTTGGGCTGACACAATATTTTAGTATATGTGCTTGATAATTCCTAGTTAGCAAGCATTGGTCCTGTGCAGCAAGGATAAAACCTTCAGTTTCCGCTTTCAACCCTGCACTACGTAGCCACTGATGGGTACGGGTTTTTGTCTACGTCAGCTTGTTTGGTACGGGCAGAGTATTGGCCATGAAGCGGTTTATCTTGCCATCGCTTCTGTATCTGGTCGGTTGCATTCGTCTTTGCTGTCTTTTTTAGATATTTTGCAGTTTCAGCCGGTGTATTGTGCTGTAGTTGCATCTCTACGCCCATTTGAAACTCCATTTTGAATTTGTTGGCTTCCTTCATTACGGAGTAAAGACGCTTACTACTTTCATGTTCCTTGACGCATACCATCATCCAGTCTTCTGTAGTTTCCAAATATCTTTGGAGGCCAATTGTTGTAGTTTTGTAGGACAGTTCTAGTTGAACTAAATTTATGCCTCTTTATCTTATTATTAAACATTACGATCAACATCTTCTTGGGATGATCTTTATTATTATTAATCTTATTATTATATTTCATTTAGTATTTAGTACCATCTATTTGTTTTTTAATCCCATTGACATAAACATCACTTATTGGAACCAAATGTTATGGTTGTTTCATAAATATATCAAATTTTTTTACACAAATTCAATTTATTTAAAAATTCTTGTGTGAATAGATAGGACTTTTTTCTTAAAGGTAGCCAAATGACAAAATTTATTGACAGATACAAAGGACAGGAAATTGGGGAGGGTCATGGTGACCAACTTACTGAAGGGAGACGGCACACAAAACTAGACACTGTTTAAATTTTCTTAAAATTGATATGTAAGCTCTTTTAGAAAGCATTTTAACATTTGACTAATCAAGGCTTGTCAGTAATGTATAATTCTCATGTTATTTTTTTTTTTGGTTTTATTTCAATCATTCCATTAATTATAGAAAAAAGATCATTTTTTATTTCAATTATATATATATATATTAGTTTCATTTAAAAATCCTCATTATTTATTTTCTTATATTTACCTTTCTTTGCAAATTAATTTAAAACAAAACGAAAAAAATTATTATTTTGAAAGATTTACGATCGGATTTTCCATAAAACATGATCCAGTGCATATTATTATTATTTCCTTCATTGTCCATTCCACATAGTCGTTCCTTAAAGATTGACCACAGATTCTTTTTTGTATTTTAATCAGTCTTTTTTTCTGGGGGAACACTCTATAGTTTTACTTGATTTAATCAATCCACGCTCATTTGATAATGTGTTCGTTTAGCGTTACAATTTTTGTACACTTTATTTTGGAGAAACGTCCAAAAATGAAATTCTTTGGCATTAGGATTTCAAATTAATGATACAGTCGGGACAATAGTGTTTTTTTTTTTAAAATCTGATGCAATCACGGATAACACAATATGAAAAAACCAAACCAATTATCATCATCAATTATCGAAAATAGATTCGTATTATATATAAACACTTACTATAAATGACCTTAATCCGAGACATAAAAATAGAATCAATTACACCTTGTCAACAGTGGGTCTAAAATTGACCGAATGGTGAAGGGTGACTTGAAAGCTTACCAGTTAGTTATACAAATAAATTTGAACAAGATATGTATTTTCATATAAACGTATATATTTAATAAATATATATATATTTATTATATTAATATAAAATATTATATATTAAATTATTATTTTATGTCATAACGCATTATTCAGTATGGACCTCCTTAACATGACTATCCTTTTGATATTTGAAAAAAACAATTTCTTTTTATCAGTTAAACGAGTTGTCATCCATTTACACAAAATTATTTTATTTTTTGTCTAAAAAATCTTCATATTATTCTAAGAAATCAAAGAAATATTTAAATTTCCTTTCTTCAAAAAATGTATCCCAGAAATACCAACCGTCTCTTTCTGATGATTAAGATAATTTTATTATATATTACTAATAGCCATAAATATTTCATCGATGAAAAAAGTGATCAATTAGAATATACTTTAAAAAAATTTCAAATTTAGATGAAATTATATATCTTCTCCAATTACATTAAATACGTATATAGAAAAAAATCAAAGGATTTACTGATATAACAGACTTTAGTCATAAATTTTTCAATCGATTTAGCCGATTTAGAATATATTTAAAAAAGAAATTATAGCCAAAGAATTTTTCCTTTTATTTTTAAACAATTATTTTGGATTTCCAAAATTCAATTTAGTTATCAAATACCAAACAAAAAAAGGATAATAAAAATAAAACATTTGTTAAATATCTTTGAAGATTTATGAAAATCAGGAGCAAAAAAAAAAAAAGAATTAACCTGTAAAAAATCGCCATTTTCGCTATTTTTTATCTGGATAAGTCAATTATGAATTAAATTTGTTTAAAAAATTTTATTTTTAAAAAAAATTAAAGAAGTTTATACTTGATTACTTTGAAAAAAGGGTTTTTAATGTTTGAAATTTATTTTAGAAATTAGAGTTTTATATTTTTCATATTTTTTCAGCATATGAAGAGGCGTGAAAAAAACAGTTCAAGTTTTTTTGAAATTTAAGGAATGATGTGAAAGTACGAAATTATTTTTTTAAAAAAATGAATTTATGGATTTTTGATCGGCTTTATCGATTATTGATTTTTTGTTTTAATTACCGATTTTTTACGCTAAGGACATTTCTCTGATATTGTACTATATATGTGCCAAGGTTGGTTAAAATCAAGTTAAAGTTACTCTCGAGGAAAATACATAAGGATTTTCAACATACAAACATTGCGAAATATATAGAGATTATATTTTTATTAATACATATCCTTTTATTAAAATATATTACTCTTAATATCATTATTAAATTCATGATGATGTTATTTTTTTTATTATTTCTATTTAAGTGCATAAACATGCAATAAAGTTCACAGCAAAGTTTTGACTAGCTCGATAGTGCAAGGTTGACATTTATAGCATCCTGGACGGACGCGACTATCACAGAGGACAAAAAACAAAGCCAAAAACAATTTCAGAAAAATCGATTGTCATATAGATGATTTATAAGAAGCCTTTCATCTGAGCGCTTAAAGACATCCGTTAAGTATTTAGATCCATTTAAACCAAGTATGGTATTAAAACATTTACCAAAGACGATCTATTTTAAATTTTTTATATTTCTTTCAGCGCACATGGTTTTTTATAAAATTCCTTTTAAATATTTCCCTCGTTGAGAAACAGGTCACTTTAAAAGGCGATCAATAACGCAATTTAGAAAGAAAATTTTCAGAAATTTTTTTTTGATAAAATTTTATTAAATTAAAACAAGCTCGAAATAATCATATTTTATTTAAGACATTTCTTTCGAGAATCGAATAATGCAATTAAAATATTCTTTAATTAAATAAAAGACAGTTGTTAATTATTTAGATTTTTTTTTATTTCATAATGTATCAACCCAAGATTTCGATTTAATTATTATATATATATATATATATATATATATATATATATATATATATATATATATATATATATATATATATATATATATGGTTTATACCTGAATGAATAAATTAACAACCCAATTCACACTTCTTTAAAAATATATATTAATTATTGTCGGATGACTGGATATTCTAGCGTCTGTTGAAAACGTAATTTCAACGATGAAATAAATTGAATAATAATATTATTTTTTTCTTTAAAAAATCCTCACTAATTTTATAGTTTTTAAACTTTTAGTGATTAAATTTAGATTTTAAAATTGGCAGTTTTTAATTTTAATATCAAATTTTATCATATAATTTAATAATTATTAGTTAGAATAAATTTTTTTTTAATATTACCCGTATTTAAAAGATCTGAATAGCTATTATAAATATAATTTCGTTGTCAATTTTTTTGAATTTTAATATACTTATTGTGTTTGATTGGTCATTCTAGCTTTTGTAAGAATCATTTTCTAATTTAGAGAAGGATCGTTAATTAATTTGAAAATTTTTAAAACCATTTATTTTATATTCAACATCATCACTTGATAAGACATTTTTTATAAAAAACAAAAAATAGCTAAATTTTTAGTGATTTTATAACATATTTATGTTATAATTTTTTTATAAAAATATTATATATATATATATATATATATATATATATATAGAGAGATAGAGAGAGTTTATTCACAGACAGACTGTTTCATTGTATCACTTTTATAAATTAAAATGGACATCCGAATGGTTCCGACTGATTTATTTTCAGATCTATATCTATGCCATAGTTGCACATGAAAGTTATACCTTCCAAAATGTATGGCTAATAATATTTTTCCAGAGAAACGGATTTTGGTAATATGTTTTGCAAAATGTAAATAGTTTGTTTTAATAATTTCCCTTTACAAATAATTTTTCCTTTAAAAAATCATTCCTAGTTATATAAAAATATATATATATATAACAAAAAGTTTTGCATTATGTAGTTTAATAATTTCTTAATCAACCGAAATTTTTCCTGCAACATACTTATTTTCAACAGGAACAAAGAAGTGCTAATATCAAAATCCGTTTCTCATTATTTGAAGGCTAAGATCTTTGACATTTATTTCCTACCAGTTGTGTTTATAATGTTTTGATTGTGTTAAATGGGCGACAAAGTCATGTCAAATCTTCGCTATATTATGACTAACAAACACCTCAGCGACCAAATCTCTATCAATGAGCTACTCAACCTTATCAATCTTAAGCCGATCACTTCATTTATCATATCATGTATGCTTATATCAAAAAATCAATTCATGATGTGCTTAATTCATGCCTATAAAGAAAAATTAGGAAAATTTGTCAAAAAATAACCTAAACTTACTAAATAATTACAGATAGTCATCGGACTTACAGCACCAGCTATTTCGAAGCGGTCACCATCAAAGTCCTGACTAGACTCGACGTTGCTTAACTTCGGTGATCAGACGATGACCGGTGTGTTCAAAGTGATATAGTCGTAGGAGTAATGGATAACGGCTCGGATTTAGGAATCGGAGAGCCGAGTTCGAATTCCAGTCGATTCCATTACATTCACTTACGGGTAAATAGCAGCCAGTCTGGGTTCTTTAGCAGAAAGAAATGGCAGAAAGAAATGGCAGAAAGAAATGGCAACCTACTGCGTGAAAAAAATCTCTCGTCTGTCAGATACATGATCGCCTAAGCGTGTATCATGCATAGCACATAACTGACAACATTTCTCGGTCAATAGCCAAAGCGCTGGATTGATAATGTTCACTTACTGATTGGACTTGACCTTTACTCTCTGAACTCGGCTATTGGCGGTCGGACTTTGTAGAGAATTATATCTCATGGTAATGCGTTGTCTGCAAAAAGCGGAGTAAGCGATTGATGATGAACTAAAATGAGATATCACGAGACATGGATAACAGAATAAAAAATACCCTCCTCCATGCATTCAGATCAAACTCCTCTGAACGGTACCCGGTTTACAGCCCCATCACGTTGAAACAGTGCTTCCCATACAATCAGCAAAGTTAAGCAACGTCGAGACTAGTCAGTACCAAGATTGGTGACTGTTCCAGGTGCTGTAAGTTTTGATGTACAGGTAGTGTAATGAATAATTTCACAGAATTGTTAATCAGAAAGCCGATTTCCAATCCACATTGGCTTCCTTATATTCCCTTACATGTACATATCCTTGCCAAAGTTAGAAATCCTCCTATTATCTCCCTGCTATGGATTAATTAGTAAGTCATGCATCACTAAAAACCATTATTACCTAAAAAAAATTATAATCTAACATTATTTTCTGGATTAACATAAGCTGCAAAACGGTTGATCAGACGTAGATAATGAATCAATTAACCAAATGAAATGTTACCCGGGTTGACAGAGGCCTGAAGAAATCAGTAGAATAAAACGGTCGAAACTTTGTGATCTTAAAATAGTAATATTAGTTCACGTTTATTTATTTAGTTTTTTTGCCTTTGTTGAATTTTTTCAAATGCTTTAATTTTTTTTCTTTTGATCTTTAACTATCAATAATATATTTTCTTCTGTCTTTTATTTATTTTTTTATATTATCTCAATGAAATAATTTTATTTTGAAAAGGCGAATAAATATTTTCTCTTAAAATCTCAACGCAGATCAGTCAATGTCATAAAAGTAATCAAAAGCTATAACTTTGGGACCGGATGTGTCAAAAAGAATGAAAGAAACGCGGATAACAATTTCTTTAAGATCTATCATTATCTTTCAACCTCAAAAAAATCATTAAACTACGTAGAAATAAGCCAAATAATTACCACGTCACATAATTATTTTACGCAGGAAATCAACCGCAAATCAACTATCAGCGATATTTTTTCCTTCGAATTACGATTCAAAATGTCTGATCACCTTCCGGGTAAAGCTAATTATTATTTGTTTATAAATGTCTTCATTCTTTCTTTTTTTGTTATTTCTCCCGAAAGACAACCATACCATTCTCTGTTGATTATTATTATTGTTGTTATTATTATTATTATTATTGTTATTATAATTATTATTATTTTGTTTTTTAGTCTGTCATTCCGTCATCTCTCGGCCAAAGATCGCGTAGACATTCTTCCAAATGACTAGTTTTAAATTGCATGCCTCAGGAGAAAACATGGCCGACCTGATGTTAATTGTATAAATTCGGACATCTAGCCGGAAGTTAGGTAAGACATTGACTGACAGGATGTAAGAAAAACAAGATAAAGAAAAGCAAAAAAGAAAATCAACTTGAAAATGCCCAGGAGACCAGCAACAACCAAATTAAACATGGAGGCGAGTTAAATGGGTTTAGGTCTACCATCACAATTTACCAGTTAGTAATCACTACTGAACTACATGCCGTGATTTGATTAGATTGTTTTTATTCAGTCCGTTATTAATTCTCTTACGCTTTCTTCTTTCTCAAATCATTCGGTTGATTTATTTGTCTGCTAATTGCTTCTATGCCGACCTAGTCTTTTCGATCTGAATCATTAACTTCAAATATTTGATTCCATTTCTTTTTTATCTTTTCCCTTAATACCTGTCCATCCATTTCGGTCTATTTAGAAATATCTGTCAATATCATTTTTTTACAGAAACATCTATGTCAACCTGTTCATAGATATCTCTCTGTCGCAGTCTGCTCAGAAACATCTGTGTCTCTGTTGTGAAATATCTAGCAATACGTTCGAAAGTATCTATCACAATTTATTTCAGAAATATCTATCTCACCCTCTTCTGAAACATCTATCCAATTCGGTGTTATCGGAAATATATACCTGCGTGTGTTCAGAAATATCTATTACCCTGTTTCTAAAAATAGTTATTCATCCCATTTTTTCAGACGTATTTATCTCAGTACTCTCAAATTATATGCCTATATTTGCTCAGATGTGTTTGTTGTGTGTGTATGTGTGTGTATATATATATATATACACACACACACACACACACACACACATATATATATATATATATATATATATATATATATATATATATATATATATATATATATATATATAGATAGAGACACAGACAAACCCACCAACGTTTTACCTAAGCCATCATTCCCTGATGATTCGCTTAGGTGAAACCTTGGTAGGTGTGTCTGGCTGTCTAGGTTTAATTAGGTCTGCTCTACTCCTTGTATTGAGCACTTTATTTAGTTATTTTGGGTACTCGTATCGCGTTTTTTTTTTCTTTGGGCCTTGGACTTGCATGCTGGACGATTATTTTCGGCTAACGTACATATTCTTGGTGCCTTCTTTTTTTATAATTTTTTTCCCTTTGGTGTTGGCTTGTTTATTTGCAAATCAATACAACGAAGGTTTTCGAGCGAGTATAGTTTCTTATACTTATAAGTTTCTCTAATAATAATAATAATAATATATATATATATATATATATATATATATATATAATATAATATTATATTATATTATATTTTCTATTAATAATATATATATATATATATATATATATATATATATATGTGTGTGTGTGTGTGTGTGTGTGTGTGTGTGTGTGTGTGTGTGTGTGTGTGTGTGTGTGTGTGTGTGTGAGGGGAGAGAGAGAGAGAGTCGCTTTTAAGGAATTTGGGAGCATTGCTAAAAACAATACTGAAAAAGTTTATCCTTTTGGTGCCGTAAAAATAAAATACATATAAAGCCTATTTATTTTATTATTTTTTTTTAAGATCAACCTGGAGTAATGAAAATAAACAGGAAACTCAACTGAAAAACCTGGAGATAACATGGAAGAATATGTTAAAAATGTAATGTCAGATTATTCAAAACGAGGCTAGCATTCATAACAATGTTTACCCCTGATGACCGGCGGTGTAACTAATAAATAAGATTAGATATGCAGTAAGAATCAACTTATATTTTCCGATTTAATTTTTTTTTTCTGTAGTGCACCCAAGACAAGTGTCACTGAATGAAGTTGTTGCTGTGAGAGGCGGGGATATGGTGAAAATATGAATTTTATATTATGAAGACGTGTAGGACAGATATCGGTTAATTGTGAATTTGAAGAGGCTAAGATTGTAATGATCAAAAAAGCAACCTCTCATGGAGTTATTCTATACAAGAAGAGTTCTGGAAAAAGAAGCTGTCAAAATGGAACTTATTCTTTACCAAAGGGACACAAAGGAAAAGGGGGGGATTTGCTACCGTCAAAATGACATGGCAGATCCCAGCTGTGAAGCATGTTGAAATTAAAGAATGATGCTCGTTTTTGTCATCACTTTGCAGGCAAGACACATTCGCACTCGTTTCTAATTCTGAGGTAAGTCATGTCTTTCGACACATTTACATTTTGATGATCGGGTCAAATTCTGTTGGGGTTTAATTATTTTATTTTACGTTCCTTGGCCTAATCTTAATCGAATCCGTTTATCTTTGCTTGGATTTATCGAGAATGAAGAATCGGTGACCTTCCATTTGCAGAAGATATATTTTTACTTGAGAAGTTAAGAAAGCGATCGTTCTTCTTTTTTCCCACGAAGCACTTTATGCGATTCCTTATTCTAATAGGTCTGCAAAACACTTTTTCATTTGTTGGGTCAAGGCCTCTTTAAGTGAAACTAACTTTTTATCTTACTTATTGAGACATAAGCGTCCACCCGGAATTGGTTAACAACATTCCCGAAACAAGTAAATATAAGAAAAAAAAAACCATGCAAGATATGTTACTCCGCATGATTTAGGTTACCTTTTTACAGTGTGACGAGTCACGGTGGAATACTGGATAGCGGCTCTGAATCGTAGAGCCGAGTTCGAATTCCAGTCGATCCCATTACATTCACTTATGTGCTACTACCCTTGGGAAAAGTATGAATCCTCTTCTTCTCCCTCAAGCTATGGGTAAATCAGGACGAATCGTATTCTATCGTCTTGGATGGCAAGAAATAAATAGCAAAAAATCGAAAGATACATGATCGCCTAAGCGTGTATCACGCATGGCACATAATTGACTGACTGATCTCTACCCATTAATCGTTCGACACTATATACGATATGAGGGTGACAATTTAATTCCCGAAATGGCTTGTGAATAAAAAGTATTTGTCATTCCGAATTACTCATCTTGACGTGAGACGGTGGGGCCATTGCAGGAAATATTGTTGGAGGATGTCAGAGATGTCAACAATTTTTTTTTATTTTGCTTCGTAGCAGTTTTTTTTTTTTTCGGAAAATTAAGAATCCATTTCTTCTTCCCCAACTATAAATACTTAGCAGGACAGACCGGTTTCTATTGCCTTGGATGGAAACTGGTCTACCGCAGAAAGAAATGGCAAAACTCCTGCATTGTCTGTCATGTATCGAGAAATACAATTCGCCTAAGCGTGTATCACACATGGCACATTACTGACTGAATAGGGACTGAGTGGTGAGAGGCTATCTGTTTCATCTGTCGAAAATATTTTCTTACCCACATAACCGAGTAATGACTTGAATTCTGACGAGCCTGTTGAGGGAGATCTGGGCAACACCAGCCCAGATATGGTCGTTATCTGACGTTTGTAAAGACAGAACATAGAATCAGGATTTAGGTATTAAATTAGTGCAAAAATAATGACGTAATAATGTCGTTTTTTGACGTACTTTTCTACGTCAAAAAACGACATTCTTACGTCATTATTTTTGCACCAACCTAATATTTTCTGGAAAGATAAAAAGAACCAAGAAATGATCCAACATCCTTAAACTTATATATATATATTTGAAGTTATACTTGAAGTCTGGAATGTGGATTGCAGAAGAGTATATTTTAATATGAAACGTGCTTTATTTCTATAAACGAAATGTTGGTTGAGGTAAGATAAGCAAAACATGGATCAACAACATTTTCTATAGTACCAATTATGGCGCACAATTTCTCCTTTGAAAAAAAAAACGTATTTCCAAAAATAAATTTTGAGGTAGACAGACTGCTAGTCAATGCACAATGAAATATCTCTCTACAATATTCCTATTTACATGATGTTCGAATACCGACACTGAAAAAAGTTAAAATCTATCAATCCTCAACGTAACCGATATAAATAGATTTGGTGTTGCCCAATTCTTTCTCACTAGCCTCGTCAGAATTCAAGACATTACTCGGTTATGTGAGTAAGGAAATATTTTCGACAATGCAATATTTATGCAACAGATGAAATATAGATAGCCTCTCACCACTCAGTCGCTAATAAGTCAGTTATGTGCCATGCGTGATACACGTATAGGCGATCATGTATCTTATATATATATATATATATATATATATATATATATATATATATATATATATATATATAAGGAGGAGGTTATTATATATATATAAAGGAGGAGGTTATTGTAGTTCCAACGAAAGAAAAATGTGTATATTAAAAAGAATGGTCGTAATGGGGATTTTTTAAAAATAATATTAGTTCAAGAAAAACATTTGGCTCACTGACACAAAAAAAAGAGAATGTTTCATATCGAGAATATTTAACATCGGAAAAACATAAAGGAGAAAAGATTAATTATTTTTACTAATATGTGGAAATCTCCACCCTTTACCTGATGACGGTCTCGAGACCAGAAACTCGTGTAGCAAATTTATGGAAAATAATGCATAATATTTTTTAAAATAAATCCACATTACAACACAAAACGTTTGCGGTTTCTCTTCTTTTTTAATATATATATATATATATATATATATATATATATATATAAATATAGGCTTCTACGTGGATGACCATATATATACATACATATATATATATATATATATATATATATATATCATCCACATACAAGCCTATTTCACTGTATCACAACTCATCAGTATTGTTAGACGTCCGATTACTTCAAGCCGGGATCGAAACTCGACCGATTTGGCATCAGTCAGGGATCATACCCTATCGGCACACGACAAAGAAATATAAATTTTAACGTATTCTTATACGAGGTATACACCGTTGCTATTAGACAAGAGCGCTAAATCTGTGTGCATCCATGTGTGTGTGTACAGATGTACACTTGTCTGTTTATTAATATCATTGTTGACATTTGCTTTTTCTAGATTATCCTTCTTCATATGCATCGTAAAACTTTTGAACTTATCTAATAAGATTTTGTTCCCCAAGAAATTTGGAGAATTTAATTTTTCTTTAAATTCTGCTGTTTTTCCCTTTTTCAATACTTTGTTTCAATTATGACTGAAAAGCTCTTTCCGTAATTGTGTTTCGTGTCTTGTCGAAAAGGCTCCGTTATTCTCCTCAATTTAAAAAAATAATTCGTTTGTTTTTAGGATATTTTAACGCACATCTAGAAAGTAATTTTTATTTTCTTCTTCATTTCTAATTCAACTATTGTTTTAATTTTAACTTTCTGTTTCGACGTCTTATTTTAATTTACTTTTTTACAGTATCCTCTAAATATTGTCCGTTTTTTAAAAATTATTTGTGTTCCGTCTCTTTTTTCTTCTCTTTTCTCCATCGTGTCTTATTTTGGTTCTGTTTTCGTTTCTTTTTCTTTCTTTTCCATTCTTTTTCTCTATTTTCCTTCCTTTTCTCTATTCATCATTCCTTTTCTCTCGTCTTTCTTTCCTTTTTTGTTTATTCTTTCTTTGCCATTTCTTTATTTTCTCGTTTTTTTTTATTTTTCTCTATTTTCCCGTTATATTTTCTTCATTCGTGTTTTCTTCTTTCTCTGTTGTTTTTATCCCCCCTTTTTTTTTCTATATTCTTCATTTCATTCCCTTTATTCTTCCTTTCTTTTTCTCTTCCATTTATTTTCGTTTTCCGCGGGTTTGCCTCCTGTTCATCTCCTTCCATCAGATTGACATCCCCAATCTTCAGTTTCATCTTGTTATGATTTCTCAGAGGAAAATGCCGGTTCTATTTCTGTTTGCCGTTTATTTGAACAGAAAGACAAATCTGTCACGCGTTCTCGTTAGAGAAGATATTCGTCTTGTTGCCATAGACACCAAACATTAATTCTCTCGCCTCACGATCAACCGCCGTTCACTAAACCGTGCGAGGATTTAGACTGAATGGATAAGCAACAACATTTCTGGTTCTTTTTTTTTTTCTTCCATTTGTTGCTTTGATTTCTTTCTTTCTTCTTTTCTTTTTTCTTTCATTCTGTCTGTCTTTCTTTCTTTCTTTCTTTCTTCTTTTTTATGTCTTCCTTTCTTCGTTTCTTTATTTCTTTCTTTCTTATTTTCTTTCTTTCGTTTTCTTCTATTCTTTATTTCTTTTACTTTTCTGTTATTTCTTCCTTTCATCTTTTCTTTCTTTCTTTCTTTTTCTTTTCTATTCTTTCTTTTTTCTTCTTTGCTTTATCTCTCCCTTTCTTTTTCTTTCCTTTCTGTCTTTTTTCTTCGTTTCTTTTTTTCTGTTTTTCTTTCGTTCTTCTTTCTTTCTTTCTTTCTTTCTTTCTTTCTTTCTTTCTTTCTTTCTTTCTGCTTTTATATTTAACTTCAATCTGCTACATATTATCTTCTTTTTATTGCTTGTATTCGTTCGTTATTTTTATTTTCTGATTTTTCTCATCTGTTCATTGATATATGTTTCACTGCTTGTGATTTTTTCTGTCTTTAATGTCCTTCGATTTGTATGGAAACAGATGTAAATGCGCATACAAACATCTATTCTATTATGGGGACTTATCTATAAGCCATTACAAAATATATATATATATATATATATATATATATATATATATATATATATATATAAATAAATTATAGGGAACATATCTGTAAGGATTTACGAATAAATATTCTATTATGAGTAGAGATTTGAATTCTCGTACAAATATATATTCAGTTGTACGGATATATCTGTATGCCCGGAAACAAACGTTCTATTATGGGGCATATTATAAGGAAGTACATACATATATTAGCAGGAGAAATCTGCATGTGCGTAGGAACATATTATATTCTGGGGATAGATTTGTAAGGACGTACAAATATACATTATATTATAAGAAGAGATTTGCTTACACACACACACACACACACACACACATTCATATATATATATATATATATATATATATATATATATATATATATATATATATATATATGTCCCTCCAGCTATGGGTAAAATAGCAGGACAGACTGGGTTCTATAGCCTGGTCTAGGAGAAGGACAACTCTGAATTCAAAACCTGCGGAGGGTCGTTTGGTAACCTTGTGGCATTCGGTGCACCAGGTCTCTGTATTCGTCCCTTCAAAAAGTGTGGATGGTCCTACACGAGTCCTTCATCACTATAATCAAATCTCATGTGCCGCTGTCGGGCTGTCGGTTTCCTGGAAACTGATCTGCTTAACCCTCATACGTCGAATCTCGACGGGAGAGTATATATATTATTATATATATATTATTATTATATATATATATATAGTATATATATATATAATTTGGATTTATATAAATATATATATATATATATATATATATATATATATATATATATATATATATATATATATATGAATAGACCTGTAACTAAGGCGAACAAATAAATATTCGATTATTTCATTTAATGAAATCCAAATTTAAAAAATGAAAACCATTTGGCTTGAAGATGAAACAGAATTAATGCTTTTTATTTAATATAATTGAAATCGAAGTTTTTGTTTTCTGTTTTTTGTTTTCTGTTTTTTGAAACATGGTTAATCCTGCGTAGCGAGGAAAACATATTTTTAAATCAGTTAATTTATAATATTTATGCTCTGTAAATTTATATTGAGCACTGTTTTGTAAAAATAAAAATATCAATAAAAAAACACCGGATTACATATCATACTGTTCTTTTTTTTTTTATAATATATATATATATATATATATATATATATATATATATATATATATATATATATATATATATATACATATATATATGCACACAGGTTCACGGTGGAGTGACGGATAACGGCTCGAACAGCTGAATTGAATTCCATTCTATGTTATTATATCACTTACGTGCTAATACAATTGAGAAAGATATGAATTCATGACTTCTCCTCTAAGGGCAAATAGCCTTGGTTGGCGAACGGTAGAAGACGAATGAAAACTCTCTGGATATTTTATTTGGGAACTTTTTTGATTTAATGTGCACCAGTTCTCAGTATTCAGCACTTCTAAAGAGGTATGGTTGATTCTGCACAAGCATTCGCCACTATAATCAAAGGATATGTACAGGTAGTCCGGCTGTTGGTTTTAAGAACTAATTTCGGAAGAATCCAATACACACACACACACACACACACACACACACACACACACACACACATATATATATATATATATATATATATATATATATATATATATATATATATTATATATTTATGAATATTCTAAAATATGTTGAAACATTTTAAAGGAAAATATCTTACAACTGTTGAAAAACAGAAAATAAAGTTGAATGAGGGAAACTCAATTTGACAATTGATGGAATTGATAGATGGGCCAGAGGATCTGTTTTATCCAATTCAGATGTGCCTGTTAATAAAGAAAACGCCAACAAGGAGGCTGTAGTGTTACGATATGAGCTGGAATTGTTAACCAAACCATTATCGGATCATTCAAAATCGATGAAGAAATTAAACTGAACTGTTCCAACTATTTCAATTTTATGAAAATGGCTTTCTTTGCAAGCCCCAGTCTTGCAGTTTCAAAGTGAAGTGTGTATTGATGCACAACAATGTTTCTTTTCATGCATAAATGTTGTGGATTCCGAGATGAAATTCGGTCTCCAATGAATGACAAACCCAGGAATGAAATATAACAAATAAATGTATTTACACAATAATACAATTGGTAATACGGTTAGTAGATCCAGAAATGCGGTTAGTAGAAATAACAGTCTCGAAATAGGACTTCCTTAGAGTCTACGTGCTTGTAACTGACTTCTACAAGCGGTTACCTCACACTATTACTCTACCTCCAGTTCAATCACAATCTCTAATCTACGACTGACTCTGACTCTGGGAATTTAACGGCAGCAGTACAATTACACGCTGGTCGATTCCATTTGTATGAAAAAGGGGTGGGCCCCATGACAAAAAGTTTACCCGTGAATTCCTTGAGAATAACAGGCGAGAAGATAAACTACAAGTGGGCTCTCTGAATGTAGAAAAAATGCAAATTTTACTGCGTATGGGTCCGCAAAAGGGACTGGTATGCAAATACAAAAAGAGAGAATTACAACTCTCAGCATTTTGCATACATATATATATATATATATATATATATATATATATAAAGTGAACATTGAAGTCAACATCATTAACACCCAACAGGTTGTTTCAAGTGTTGCAATCGTCAGGCCACCTGACGATTGCGCGATCAGCATGAAACAGCCTGTCGCATTTCAGTTTTGTCTTCAATAAAAACTTTTATATTTATATATATATACGATTTATCTCTGATATTGAACACCTTTCCCATAAATATGCCACACGTTAAAACTATATTCATTCATATATATATATATATATATATATATATAAATGTGTGTGTGTGTGTGTGTGTGTGTGTGTGTAATTGTGTGTGTTGTGTGTGTGTAATATTTTTATGTATAATAATCACATCAACATAAATATCAATTTAGTTCGATGCTGTCATAAAGAACGAAAAATTCCCATGAAAATTTTTTCCGCTCTGTGATAGATTTAAAAAATTTATATATATTTATAGAAAATATATATTTTATTTTTACCACACACACACACACACTTTTTATACACATATATATATATATATATATATATATATATATATATATATATATATATATATATATATATATCAAAACTGAAACAGGGATTTGAAAAGAGATTTATAGTGAGTGAGTAGATTAATAAGGTTAAAACTGGATGTTTTCGGGAGAATGCATTTCTCGCAGTCACCATGTTTTGTATATTGTTACATACAAATTATGTTCCGTCATCGTTGAATTCGAACAACACTTTAGCATCACATTTAATTCACATTTAATATTTATCTGTGTTTCTCTCAATCCCCGTGGATCAATGTTATTTTCTTGATCCTTGGAAATTGGCGATCATCCTGTCAAACAGTTTGACTTGATTCAGTAACTCGCAAAGTCAGACAAAACTGTTTATTTATGCGTATTCCATTTGCAGCATAAGATGTTTATGCAGTCATATATATTTGACCAGATTGTCTTTATTAAACCTGGAAATCGAAGCCGCGATTGGTTTCTTCGATCTGAAACATGAACTGTCGAAGTTAGACAAGTCTGTTTATTAATGTATATGAAAATATATCCTCTTCTTGGCTTAATAAATCTATATGATTGTAATATCATTTATAACCAGACAGATGATGTCTAATGAACCTGGAGATTGAAATGCAATCGATCTCGCATGGAATTAAATACAGGAGAATGGCGTCCTTTGAAAACGTCTTGAATTCAGTATAAAATTGGAATTAAAAATGAAAAGCTTTCTAAAATACATTGCCGGTAAAAACATAAAAATAAATAACTTTCCTGTTTATGTATAAGCATCGAAATCGATTTTTACGCAAATTTCTCGTAATCAAGTTCTGTGTAATACACACACACACATACATACATACACACACACACACACACATATATATATATATATATATATATATATATATATATAAATACCTAAAGAGCCAAAACCTATCTACTTAGGTTGCACCTAACGGAACATCAGGAAAATTCGGATTTTAGAATTATCTTTAGTTATTTTAATTTTTCTCTACTTAGTGTATTGAACACTTTTACGTATCAACGCAGGAAACTCTGTGGGTGCTTTTTTCTTTAGGCTAGAGATTTCAGTGCAGGTTGATTATTTTCAAGCAGTACGGAAGTTTTTTATTTTTTAATTTATTTATTGATTTTTTCCCCCCCAAATATCAGTTTATCTATTTTTTTTTATTTCCATATTGTATTATTTGTTTTTTTTCACACCGGCAGAGATATAGTTTAAAAAAATAATATATATATATATATATATATATATATATATATATATATATATATATATATATATATAATAAAATGGCTTAAACACTAATATTCCATGGTCATAATTTATTCCATTGCAATCGTAAATACGATCCAATTCATCAGATCTACAAATTCAAAAAGAAAACAGAAAAATCAACTCCGGAAATAAAAGTAGAATTTAGAGAGAGTGTAAGTATGAGAGTGTGGGACGAATGTTAGTGATAAAAAGAGGGGTGACAGACGAGAGAAGGTGGCAGATTAAAACTTAACAGAGAGAAGTTTTAGAGAGGTGAGCTGAAGACGGTTTAAGTGAGAGAAATATATATATATATATAATATATGTATATGTATATATATGTATATATATGTATACATATGTTTATATATATATATATATGTATATATATATGTATATATATATGTATGTATATATATTTATATATTTTGCATATGTA